TTGCTATTTTTGCAGCTGTTGTAGCGAATGCTTCTACAGTTTGATATGTTGATTCTTCGACATACTGATTCGATGTAATGGTATAAATTTTGAATATCTTAAAAGATATGCACAACCGAGAATTATCATAAATACGTACCTTAGAAATAGTTCTAACGATAGTACGATAATTATGCGGCTTGGGGAGGTTACCTTCTTGCGAGGAACTAATATTAAAATCGGAATATATTGTTATATTCAATATCACAGTTTGCTTTTCTTCGCGCTCCCATGGATTGACACCGATAATCGCGCTTAATCTCAAATCTTTAACAAATATTACGTCTTGACGGTTATCATTATAAATAGGAAACGTATTTGAGTTTGAATCAATTTTACTATAGTCTTCTCTAGTACGTATTATTTCGACACCTGCAGAAGCAGCGTGCAACAAAGCGCGAGGCTTTTCTACACGAACGGTAACCCGAGGAGCATGACATTCATTCACGCAAATTTTAGCTATTCCTTCTGCTAAAGCCTCGATGGAATCACTGATAGAATCCTCGGCATATTTAGAGACTGCTTTGGAAACTATTCCATAATTAATGGAATATGAAAGTTTATCCTTTTTTCCAGCCTCAGAAATGTTTTTATGAAGAGTTAAATTTATTAAAACTGGTTGACGTTTTACGCGCTCCCAAGAGTCGACTCCCGTAACATTTCGTACGAGAAGATTTTTTATAATAATCTTGTCGTGGGATTCTTCTTCCATTGTCACAAAAGGTTAACTGAAATAATAACTTTAGATAATCAGTTGCGAATCAATCATATCTTTTTTTGATTGGTTGATCACATGTAGAGTTTGAAAATATGACGATAGCATCATTGTATGCACATACGTACGTACGTACATGCATACATACACACAAAAACATTTGACCACTTACTTTTGTTCTCTATGCGCTTGTACAAATAATGCGAGTATTGCAGTTTTAGAAATCGAATCCGAAGGAAATCGAATTTAAATTCGAAGATCGAATCCGCTAATCATATGAAGCTAAACTCGTTACTAAAGTTCTTAGGTCCCAAATTAGGCGATTGTTACTGGATTGTATAGAATGTGAAGTAAAGATGTCAATAGGTAGTGATGGGACTCACTTGGACTTGGACTTACCGGGGTTAGGCTGCTTAATTGTCGCACACATAATAATATAAAAAGTAAATCTATAATTTTTGTTTTAACATAATGCAATTAGCCATCACTATCAATAGGAGTATGTACTGTAAATACCAAATTCGCTAACCACCAGTCAGGGGGACTAGAATGTCCAGACTCGTGCAAAATTAAACCGCATTTTTATGCAATATAAAAAATTTTGAATAGCGATAATAATAACTAGCAATTATTACTATACCACACCGCAATTGTTTAAATAATTACAAATCAAATTTAGATCAAAAAAATTACATATTATGTGCATTGGGTTTTATTATAAATCGATATTGTTATTTGTACGTAGTCTGCAGAAACTTGGAAACACGTGGTTACGTCAAAATGTTACGTAAAGGGAAAGTCTACGGACACACAACTACCCCAACAACACCCCGAGAATTCTGCGATAATAAAACTCTTAAAAAGTTGTTAATACTGGGGTTAGCGATTATATTAGTGTTTGTTATTGATGTA